ACAAAGAGAGAGAGAGAGAGAGAGAGAGAGAGAGAGAGAGAGACGTTTTGATGATGGAGGAGGAAGAGGAGAGTGAGAGTCAAAGTGGGAGAAAGAGTGAAGACAATGAATGAATGTGAAGATAATGGGTTAGATGATTCTAGAGGAATCATCTCAACCGTTGGAGCCGAGTACGTGGACGGTGGTGATCATTCTTGGAGACAAAAAGAGTCGTTGTGCTCTGTTTGCCTTAAAAAAAACAAACAAACAAAGAAACAAAAATAAGTACAAATTTTTTTTGTAGTGGTATGTTTTTTAGTGGAGTGAATTATATTTATTTTTTTTTTCCGATTTTTCATTTTTTTTCATTTTTTATATTTGTCTAGTTGAGAATAATATAAATATACAATTTTTTTTAGAAACAATTAAAAAAAAGGTCACCAAAGATTTAAAAAAAAAAAAAAAAACTACAAAACCTATATCCAAACAATACCTACAAACTTGGAAGGAAAGTTGATTGAAATTTATCAAAATAGCGTGTGACCATTCGAGCACCATTACTATAATTTGGTAAAAAAACACTATTTATTGCCAAATTATAGCAATGAATTGCTATTTTAGCAAATACCATTAGAAATGCTCTAATGGAACCTACCCGAATTGCACACTAACTCGGGTTTATAATTCGAGTTAAATTAACAATCTCTCACGCTGTGTTTACTTAGAGGATTTGAAAAGGAATTTAGAAAAAAAAAAGGAGAAAATATATGTGAAATATAAATAAAATATATTTATATTTTACTAAATTTCATACACTTTATTCCTTTTTGATTACTAAATTTTTTTCTAAATTTCTTAACCCAACATAACATCAATTGCATACTTTACTCTGGCGTATAAACTTGGGCATTGGTCTTTGTATATCTGGGTTCAATAAAGCAATGGTCGTTGTTTATCTTGTAGCTGCCCAGGAGTCTCAAGTCAAGTCAATGATTTTTAATCATATAAGATCATCTACAACGGTGAACCAAAATTGACATCAGATTCAAATTTTGATGAAAAAGGCACTTTTTTATGCTCCAACCGTTGCACCAAATGAATATCAAAATGAGAATTCAGCAAAAAAAAGTATCAAACTGAGAACAAGATAGGGATTTTACCAAATCACTGTTACTGACCGTTGAAAGAGGTACACCGATCAACCAGCCGGTTGCCCGGCCAGTTGACCAACCGGTCAACCGGTTCATCAGATTATACGACGGGTTTGAACTGTGACGGGTTTGAACTGGTTGAACTGATGGGTTTGAACTGGTCCGTGGCCTGAGCGTTGTTGATGAACCGGTCAACCAGCCGGTTGACCGGCTGGTTGACCATTCGGTCGCCCGGTCTAAGCATGGGAATGGTAGGTTTCAACTGCTTTCAACAGGTTTGGTTTGAACAGGTAGAATTTCAGATAGGTTTATTTTTAGATAGCTTATTTTGTGGACTTGGAATAATTTGGAATAATTTGAAGGGTGATATAAATTTTAATTTCATTGAAAATATAATTCAAATTGTTATGTTTTATATAAATATTTTAAAATTAGTAGTTTCAGTAAATTTATCGTTGGATGGACAGAGTCTTTTGACAATTTGCCGTTGTTATCTCATATACATATTTTAAAAGTAGCCATTTTAATAAATTTACCGTTGCATGAACAGAGTATTTTTAAAATTTATCGTTGATAATGTGTTCTATAAAATATATCAGTTTTGTATATCAACATGACAGAGTATTTTATTTTGAGAAGAGCATTACATTGTATGTTGTGAATTTTGTTTCTTCTGTGATTTTTCTCCTTCGAAACTTTAATTTATATTATCTGACTAAATTATCTGATTTTGAGGTTCAGTATTGATTGTATATCATTCTAATATTTTTTACTATTTTACATATTGTATGTACTGTATTTTTTTGAAATTATGGAAGATTTTCAAATGTTTGAAGAATCACAAATGTTTCAGCACAACACTGATATTAATTTTATGTCGGAAACTTCGCGAGAACAGAACACGCAGAGCAGTGATAATCATTTCATTTCAGAAACTTCTCGTGTTTCTCATGGTAAAGCATTTACAATTATAGAAGATGAAACTTTATGTAGATCTTGGTTAGCAGTCTCTCAAGATCCCATTACTGGTAATAGTCAGACTATGGTTATATTTTGGGAACGAGTACTTGTTAATTTTAATTCACAATTGAGTGGTGAATCAAATCGAAACCGTATTTCTTTGTCTCACCGTTGGTCTGCCATGCAAAAGGCAATTAATAAATTCTGTGGTTTTCTTGAACAAATTCAACTGCGGCAACAAAGTGGAACAACTGAGGCACACATGGTAACATTTATTTGTGTTATTAACTATCAAATTTCTTCTCTAAATGTATATTTGTTATTAAAATTGTTGTAATTTTTTTTGTAGGTCGCTGAAGCAAAGTAGATGTATCATGCAATACAGAAAAAACACTTCACATTTGATACATGTTGGGATATTTTGCGCCGAAGTTGTAAGTGGGATGAACTTCGAACACAATCCAAAAAGAGTACGCAACATGCTTATCCATGTTCTAATCCACCAACTGCAGAATCTGATGCATTTCAATCCAACCAGAATAATGTTCTGCACGAAGAACCAACTAATCCATCAATACGACCAATTGGTACTAAAGCAGCGAAAGAGAAGTTGAAGAATCAAACAACCCATGATAGTAAATTTGATGAAATGGCTGCCAACCAATCCAAAATGGTTGAAGTGTTATCAACTATTTCCGCTGGAACTATTGAGCGAGATGAACAAAAGGCGATCGACCGTGACCAGAAAGCTGCAGACCGTCGAAGAAGGGCCGAAGATAGGGAGGAACAACTAAAACTCCTATCTATGATGAATGAAAGAGAACAACGAAATGAAGATCATAAAATAATGTCAATGGACATGACAAATTTAAATCCAATGCAAAGGGCGTACTACGAAGATCTTCAACGACAGATTTTATTTCGAACAACTAATAGATTGCCTTGAAAGGTTCTGTATTTACTGGTTTCATCTATTGGTGTCATCTATTGGAAAAGGAAATGGAAAAACTGTGTATAATTATATGAAATGTCTCACTTGCCTTTTTCCATTTATGTAAAATTAGAAATTAATTAATTTGTTCTCAGTTTTTGTTTCTTGAGATGGTTGCGTTCTATTCTCTACTGCTTCTTTGGATACCATATTGATTGGTAAAAACAAAACACACCAATTACTAAGTAGTTATCATGAATGAAATTCTTCTTCATGGATATGTCAGATAAGGGGCTCATATTTTTATTTTTCTTCTACAATTTCCTACAACTATCTAAATGGGTGTTGTTCTTCTGTTACATAATCAAGTCCAAGGGCTACATCTTCATATTGTTATAGATGATTATAATTCCAAGGTTTTATAATTTCACCCTTCATTCAATCTGCGTCTTATCTTCATCTCAATGAATCTCCTCTGTCTGATTTCTCAAATAAGAATATGTTGTACATGTACATACAGTATTACAGATAACTACTTACATATAAATACATCCTTTATTCTTTTCTTTGGTTACCATTACACCTTTCAAAAACTTTCATACAAATTTAAGTAATCAGAAACATTAATAACATATTACAGATTATGGTATGAGTGAAGGTCGAAAAGATGGTGCTAAAGTAATACCCAAGCAAGTTCATTTTATATCACATAATATTACAAAATCAGTACATTCATAAAAGAAATTTACCTAACAAAAGGTTGTGAAAATAATACAAGACAAAACAATGGAAACACATAATGGCACACGGATCAACAGTCATTATCTGGTTGTGGTGGAGGAAGGAAGTAGTGATGGTATATGTCATTTACGCGATGCTCAATTCTATCAATGCGATTGTTTGCCACGTCATGCCGTCTTCCAATGTCCAAACGGAACTCACCAAATTGTTCAATTAATGAGTTCTGTGCAGTGGCAAATGTGTCAAACTGAGTACCCAACGAATTGACCTGATTAGCCATTTGATGTTCCCATTCAACGCGTTGATTATAACGTTGTTCTTCTATGGCCAAAAAATCAGTCCAATATTGAGGTGGTTCAGTTGATGGCATCACATTGACAGGAGGATCTTGTGGACCATCATCTGGTGGGACTACATCCTCTGAATCTTCTGCAGCATTATCATTTCCCATTAAATTGGCGGCTGCACCAGCACGATTCACAGTATATTGCGTAATGGGTGAACGGATTTTGATCTCCATTTCATTTGCAAAATGAACCTTAAAATATTTGAAAATTTTTGTCAAGAGTGTCCTAAACAGTAATGGCCGGCCCATTTCTTGATTTTCCAGCACCATTTCTTTCATAATTATGTAAGACAAATCTAACTTCTGCCCAACCTCAAAACAGTATAACAAATAGGCATTAAAATATGGGACCGCATCATGATGTCCTTTTTTCGGAGTGACATTTTCTATAATCCACCGGTGGAGGATCCGAAGATGAGATTTTAAATGTCTTGCTTGTAGACTAGTTCCAGTAAATCTGTTCTGACATATAGTAGTATATACATCAGTACCATTACTGACAATATTAACTAACTCAGCCTCAGTCTGAAAATGGGTATTTTCATCACCTACCTCAACTCCAATAATGCATGCCAAAGTAGGAACATCAAACTGTACACCCTTTCCTTTCACATATGACAAAAGAGTAAAATTTCCATCTTCTTCATGAGTAACTCTTAGGTGAACATAAAAAAGGGATACTAGCCGTGGATATACCTTTTGGGGTAAATTAATTAAATTTAGCCATCCCATTGATTCAAGTTTACTAACTAGTAGTGCATCATATTGAGGTGGCAGATTGACCCTCCTCCCTGTTACAATAGGTCGGCTTGAGAAATTTTGAAAGGCTAGTTCATGACTTTCACTGAGAAATTCATCTGTAGGATATGACTGATTTTGAGGCTGCTGTTGTTCGCGTCGTCGAGGGTTAGAACTTTCACCAGCTTCTGTTCTCACTCTTTTAGTTCTAGGCATGATGTAAATATCTGTTGAATTTTAATAAAAATGTGCTATAATGAAGTAATTAACATAAACACTGTCTAATTACTCTTGGATATCTAAAGGCATCTACAACGGTGCATCAATTTTTTTAATCAAATTTGAGTAAAAACTCACTTTGATATCGCTTGCTCTAACGGAAAGATTTGACTTTTCATCAAACTATCGGTCGACCGGGCAGACGATCAAGCAGTCAACCGGCTAATGTAAAATTTTCACAATTAGCCAAGGAACAACATCGGTGACCAAAAATGATAAGGGGTTATCCAGGGGGTTGATCGAAAGGTCGACATTCTAATGTAAAATTTTTATAAAATTTTGCCTTGAGATGGTTATCCGAGAAACATTCGGAGGGACATCCGATGGTGAAAATATAACGGTAATGAATATTGATTTGATGAAAGGCACAAAACATCCTCAATTTGGTGAAATATTTGGTATATTCTCAATTTGATGCAGGTTTGATAAAATCATTGGAGAACAAAAAAAGAGACTTTTTCATCAAATTTAAATTTGGTGATGGATTTAGTGTAACATTGGAGATCGCCTAACAAGTATTCTTTTGCTAGAGACCGCATCATTTGAGGAAGCTAAAAGACAGATGTACTAATGGAATATGTTATTATTAAGAGAAAAAAACATCTCCTATTCATTTCTTTTTTTTATAAACTAAAAAAATAGTTTAAATAAAAAGCACTACTAAAGTATATATTAAAAAAATGACAATTAAAATAATAAAGGAAGATATTTTGATTGGTATTGATGAAGATGGCCCTCCACTTAGGGCTAGGCTATACTCATTAAAAAAAAAGTTAAGAATACAATCGAAATAAAATAGTGATGTTAGAGAGTTTGAAAGATTTATCAGAACTTCCAACCGGTTGCCCCGTGAATCACCTTGCTCTTTTAATGCTGCCTTCTTGTTCTGTTTTGATGATCCTGCCTTGTTCCTCTGTTCCTACTGATGCTGCCTTGGTGATGATGTGGATTCACACTTGAAAATGTAGAGTGTGTGGTTAGAGGGCTTCAGTGAAAACATGTGAAATGTGAATGTGGTGATGGCAATGTTGAGCTGATATAGAGGATGGTAGGTGGTTGAATTGATAGGTGGTTCATATAATGAATTGTAGGTGGTGTGATCTTCTGAATGGTAGGTGGTTCAATAAATGATTTTATATCATATAGTTCAATGTCTGTAGGGTCAATGTTGAATGTGGCAGAAAAGTAGGTTGAATGTTCAATGCATCAACATCAATAATTTACGGAATGGCACAAATAATTGATGCCACAAATAATGCACAAACAATGTATGGCATAAATACATTGAATAATGCACACATAATGTATGCACAAATAATGAAAATGCATTGAATTTAAAACAAATATACATACAAATACATTGAATATACATATTGAAATGCATGTAATCAGTCCAATTATGAATATTGAAGATAAATCCTTACAAAAGCAATTATTCGAATGCACAAATAATGGCATGCATGATGAATCCCACGAGCCAGACCCTTAATTAATTGAATGCTTCATTTGATGAAAAAATTGAATGCTCCAATCCTCACTTCTTAAAAATGCCAAACCCTTAATCATCAAATCTTTTTAAAAATTCCAAACCTATTCCCAAAAGTTTGTTTCAACAAATTTGGTAAAAAGCTTTTTTTTGCCTTGATTTGATGAAAGAAATGTAAAAGTTTGATTTAATACAAGTTTGATGTAGATTGGAGGTGATTTTTACCAAATTTGTCATCAAATTTTAATTTGATAAAAGAATGAAGATTCTTAGGAAATGTGTGATTCACTGTTTAAGGATGGAAGGGAATCAATGAGTAATGGTAGGAATATAAATACAAAACACGAGACACATATGTCTCATATGAATTGTGATGTACATGATATGAGATCCACATATAAGACTCATTTCATGTAAAACATATATGTCATATTCTATATTTGATATTTGTGTTCCTAGACTTATTGGGGAATCAATACTGAAGCAAACTTGCAACTCCAAAACAGAATTATAGAACTTCAAAACAGAATTGTCATACTGAAATAAATTATTTTGATGATTGTCATAAATTGAACAGAGAACAATTATGAATATTGAAGATTGGATCACCACAATAGCACATCTAATCACATAACTTCTGTGTTACTTGGTTAATATAGTGCATCATACTGAAGATTACAAATAAGACAACCTTCTATTTCTTTACTAAACAAAATTACAAAATATATCTGTGGTAAATCTAGTTTTCACCGCGAAGATGCCACATATGTTCTATTAAATCATTACGGAGGGCATGATATGCATTTTTATCCCTAATACCTAAATGACGAGACAAAAATGATTCAAAGTCATTGGTCGGAGTAGAGGAAAGTTGCACTGGTGTGTTGGTAGATGAAATTTCATAATCAAAATCAAGGTGCTCCTCCCTCTCATCTTCAACAATCATATTGTGTAATATAATGCAAGTCTTCATTATGTTGGCAAGCATTTTTGGATCCCAAAAACGTACAGCACCACCTATAATTGCGAATCGAGATTGGAGGACTCCGAATGCCCGCTCTACATCTTTCCTGGCAGACTCTTGCATCATTGCAAAATGTTGTCTCTTTGCTCCTTGGGGAGAAGAAATTGTTTGAACCAGTGTTGCCCATTGCGGGTATATACCATCAGCAAGGTAATAACCCATATCGTAACTATGTCCATTAACAGTGTAGTGGACAGGGGGAGCCTTACCTTGGGCAAGATCAGAAAACAAAGGTGACTGGTCTAATACATTCAAGTCATTGTGTGACCCAGGCATTCCAAAAAATGCATGCCAAATCCATAAGTCATAAGAAGCTACTGCTTCAAGAATAATGGTTGGCTTTTTTTGATGGCCTACGTATTGACCTTGCCATGCTTTTGGACAATTTTTCCACTCCCAATGCATGCAATCTAAACTTCCCAACATACCTGGAAACCCCTGAACCTCGCCAATAGCAAGTAACCTAGCAATGTCAGTTGGTGTCGGAGATCTCAGATATTCTACTCCAAAGATTTCAATCACTGAATAACAAAATTGTTGCAAACTTTGAATCGCAGTGCTTTTCCCAATACGTATGTAATCATCAATTGCATCTGCTGCGACACCGTATGATAATATTCTCATCGCTGAAGTCATTTTTTGTAGGGCAGATAATCCAACTACATGAGCTGCATCTTGTTTTTGAATAAAATATGAATTGTGTGCTTCGATTGCATTCAAAATTCGCAAATACAAAGGACGACGCATTCGAAAACATCTCCGAAATATTGTAGCTGAATACACTGGATTTGCAGCAAAATAATCTGCAAACAATCTATCGTGACCTTGCCTTCTATCTCTGCGTATATACTTGTGACCTACAACAGAACCCCCTATTTTCTTTGAGCTATCACTTGACTTAAGAATCTGAAGCATACTACTGGTATTCTGCTCATAAGCTGCTAAAAGTGTGATCATATATTCATCATCAGACTCCTCATCAGAGAAGGAGGAAGAAGAAGAGGATGTAAATGAAGTAAATATCATGGATTTCAAAGTATCCATTATCCTCTGTTTTGTTTAAGATATAATCCTTGTGTTTAAGCTATGATCCTTGTGGAGTTGTCTGGCATATAAATAATAATGTGTTTATATGAGATTTTGGTAAACCAATGGAGGGAAAAACAAATAGCAAAATAATTAGGAACAGAAACGGAGGGAAATAAAAAAAGAAAAAAAAAAAAAAAAAGATTACCGGTCGACCGGCCGGTCAACCAACTGGTCGCCCCCTACCAGTTCACATCGGTCAGTTCACGTTGGTTGGTTCAAACAGTTCAGTGGTTGGTTCAAACAGTTCAGAAAGGTTTAAAAAAAAAAAATTTCCTCTAACCGGTCGACCGGTCCGGTCGACCATTCGGTTGTCCTGAATGAGATTTGATGAAGGTGAACCGTTGGAGCGTGAAGTATCAAATTAAGGAAATGGCCATTTTTTAACTCAGATTTGGTGAAACATTAGCTGAACCGTTGGAGATGCTCTAAGACTACTAGGAGAAAGTGCTACGTGAAACTGGAAGTTTTGGGTTGCCCAATTCGAGGCAGTAGTGCACTTGGTAATGGCGTGAGGATTAAGATTCCAGGTTTTAAGTTTGAAATTTGAAATTTTTTGGGTCAATTTCTTATCCGCAGTGCAGTTAGTTGAGAGGTTAAATTTCAAGTTATTGTTACCATAGCACTTGATATGTGTTCGATACTTTTTCATTGTGCGAGTTTTGATTTAAGCGAAGCTTGTTTTAGGGGATCGATGTAAGTTTTTAGGTTATAATCTCTTACTCAGAACGGACAATAAAGTATCTTGGTGATCTCTGCGAGAAGCGTTGCCTTAGACTTATAGGAGAGTGGAAGAATTTTCCTATAACCAAAAAAAAAATGGGCGACATGAGCCCAAACAATACCAACAAACTGGTCATATAAATATATATATATATAAGTATTATGAATATGTGAAAAGTATATTAAAATTATAAATATTTTGATGTTTTATGTTCTTTATTGATATCTTTTGGGGCTATCATTAGCAAGATCTTAATTTTTCTCTTAAAAATAATGTATTACAAGAAGGGTAACACTAGGGGTGGCCATGAGCCTGATGGCCCGCCAAGCCCAACTCGATATTGTTAGGGCTTAAGAAAAATATTAAAATTTTTAGTTTAATTAATTTTTAAGTTAGACTTGGGATAAAGAGTTTTAGCCTGTTCATTTACAAAATATTTATTTTATTTTTATTAAAAAATAATAAAAAATAAAGAAAAATATGTACATATATATGTATATATTTCTTTCTAGAGTTTAATTTAAAACATTTCTTAAAAGATTATATTTATTTTACAATTAAATTTCGTTAATATTTCAAATAAAATAATAGCCTTTCAAGATGAAATATTTATTGGGTGAAGTGTGTGGATTTGAGATTTAGACATTTTTATAAGATTGAGCTTGAGATAGCTAGGTTAGGCTCAATGTTATGCCAGGCCGAGTTTAATATAATCCTATATAGTCTAGCGTTACGTCTATATACCCCTAAATAACACAACCCTTTTTGTGGTTCTAAGGTTTTTTATTATTATTATTATTATTTATCTTCTTTTTTTTTGTTAAAATATGAGTTAAAAAATTAATTTTAATTTTTTAATTTTTATGAAAAAAATGTTCAAAAAAACAAAGAGAATGGAAGAAACTTTTACTTTCTTATTTAATTTTTAGCTTTTTTAATTTTTTTTTAATTTTTTTTTTTTTTTTTACTAATTTAACTACTTTCCAAAATTAACCAAAATAATGGAGAGTTAACGTGTAGACTCGGGCATGGATCTATGTTTTTATTTATTGCTGAAGTCCATTGATGAGACGGGATAAGTTGGCGTACTAGTTAAGTTATGTGAAATTTATTATTATAAGATTAAATAATTAGATTATTAGCGTAATGAAAGCGAAAGAATTAAAATATATATATATATATATATTTATTTATTTATTTATTTCGTGCCTATCTAACCAGTTGTTGTTTGTTTGTTTTGTCATTCATAAATGAAATAAACTATATGAAATTTATAAATACTCTTATTGCACAGCTACCAAATTTGGACTACTCAATGCCAACAAACAAATGTAAATGAACTATCAAATGTACCACAAACAATGATGGTGTTTTTTAGCTTCTTTTTTTTTTGTCAGCAAACAACATAATTATGTGATTTTTTTTCTCTTTTGAAACAGGGAAAATTTTGATGTGATTACTACGGCATACCTACCTTGGAATATAATTAGCAGAACAACTGGTTCAAAAAAAAAAAAGGAAAATGAGTGGGAGCACTAATTAGTGCTACCACTAATGATGTGGCAGTAGGCCCCACCATGAATGATTTGATGTTTTGACCTTGGTGTTGTATTTTTTTTCTTTTTTTATTGAGTGCCATGTCATTAGTGGTCTTTTTAGAGCTCCAAAATTAGTGATCTCTATCATTGTTGAAAAAAAAAAGAAAGAAAATAAAATAAAATAAAATAAGTGAATGCAACCAAACCATCACCAGACAAAGGAAATGAAAGTTTACTTAGAGACTAGTTGAGATAGCTTAAACGCATTTTTTTCTCCAATCTTTTTGTTTTAAGTAATTTTTTTTTTCAAAATTATATCAAATTTTCTTACTTTTTTTTTGTATGTTTTGTGTAGACGAATTTAAAAAGTTAAAAAAAAATTAAAAATTTTTATTAAAAAAATTTTAAAAAGCCAGAATAGTTACTATTATTTACTTATTTTTTTGTCTTTTCGAGATCTTTTTTTTTAGTTAGTCTTTCCGAGTAGAATTTAAAATTCTAAATTTTTTTGATTTTTTTTAGAAAACTAGTGGTTGGACACATGCGTTACACATGACACATGATTTTTTATTAATTGTTAATACTATAATTATGTGTCTATCTTAAATTGGTATGTGATATGTATACAAAGTATAGAGATTTGTATGGATAAATTGATCTTTATCCAAAATATAACTAAGCAATAAATGAATACATACTCCGTTGAAAAATTTAAATGATAAATGAAAAATTTTATAAACATAAATATTAATTTATAGCTAAATTGTTGATATCACAATCTTATCTTAAACAATAAATAATAAGCAAGTCCTTTAAATATATAATATTACACATTTTTTTTTTATCAATTTCCAATTTTAATTTTTCATAATTCGTACCTGTAATACAATTGAAGGAATGAAATTAATTACACAATTACACAATTTTGTTTAATAGTTCATCTCATACTACAAATTCATTGAACCTACTATTGCATATTATTTGCATACTATTGGTGTAAGAATGCATAAACATTAATATGTAATATATTTTTTTACATCAAGAGTTGTTAAGTCTCGTTTTCTATGTCACGAATATATTGAATGATAAAAAATATAGCATTGGTCATTAGTATATTTTCATTTATATGTAGAAAATTTGAAATAGTTTTTTTAGAAAATTGAATGATATTGTAGCTTAATATTTCGATCGATATAAGAATTTCATAATTATTTTTACAATGTTTATAAATCCATACTTATAAGTGTTTCCGGATCACCTTCATAAAACTTTCAAGTTACATAATTTATTATGACATCTATAAGTAATTAGCATATAATAAAAATTAATCGAAACTTTTTATTTGATGTACTTACTTTCTGCAGGATTAATTTGTTGAGATAACAGTTGGGTATCATTTGATTTTTTTTTTTCTTGTAATTTGACTAAAATGTGTGCATTAGGCACATTGTTTTTTTTTTTGAACTTCACAACAGATAGGATAATCACTGGTTCAGCTTGTCTAACTTTACTTGGAGAGCATGTTGCAACAGATATTCTGTAATTTCATAAAGTTTTGGTTTGTTATTGAAAGGATTTGTTGTGGACACTTGTTTGTATGACATGTATGTATATAAGTATTGATCATAAATTGATATGAGAACAATATATAATTCGGCAGTTCTTTTTTTTTTTTTTTTTTTTTTTCCTCTTCTTTTTTTTTTTTTTTGAGCGAATGACAACCAATGACTTGTCTTGTCTTGTAGGCTTTGTTTGTTTTTTCAAAAAATAAAAAAGGTAAGTTATGTGAAATTTATTATTATAAGATTAAATGATTAGATTATTAGTGTAATGAAAGAGAAAGAATTAAATATATATATATTTATTTATTTATTTATTTATTTCGTGTCTATCTAACCAGTTGTTTGTTTGTTTTGTCATTCATAAATGTAATTAACTATATGAAATTTATAAATACGCTTATTGCACAGCTACCAATTTGGATTACTCAATGCCAATAAACAAATGTAAATGAACTATTAAATGTACCACAAACAATGATGGTGTTTTTTAGCTTCTTTTTTATCAGCAAACAACATAATTATAAAGAGAGATTTGATTTTTTTTTTTTTTGTTTGAAACAGGGAAAATTTTGATGTGATTACCACGGCATAGCTACCTTGGAATATAATTAGCAGAACAACTGGTTCAAAAAAGAAAGAAAGAAAATAAAATAAAATAAGTGAATGCAACCAAACCATCCCCAGACAAAGGAAATGGAAGTTTACTTAGAGACTATTTGAGATAACCTAAACACATTTTTTTTCTCGAATTTTTTTGTTTTAAATTTTTTTTTTTTTTCAAAATTATATCAAAATTTCTTACTTTTTTAGTATGTATTGTGTAGACAAATTTAAAAAGTTCAAAAAAAAAATTGAAAATTTTTATTAAAAAAAATTATAAAAAGCCAAAATTGTTACTATTATTTACTTATTTTTTGTCTTATTATTTTTTTTTTACTTAGTCTTTCCGAGGAGAATTTAAAATTCTAAAATTTTTTGAATTTTTTTAGAAAACAAGTGGTTGGACACGTGCATTACACGTGACACATGATTTTTTAACAACTGTTAATACTATAATTATGTGTATATCTTAAATTAGTATGTAATATGTATACAAAATATAGAGACTTGTATAGGTAAATTAATTTTTATCCA